GAGAGTCAGCCAGTCAGATTATGCTACTTTAAAAAATGGCGGCTCCATAAATAAAAGGGCCTAATTAATTAATTATTTATTATAATGAAATAAATAATTAAAATATAAGTAATTATCAAAGGAAATAGTTAGTGACCCAAAAATCATAAATGGGTCATTCTAATATTATTTGACCATGTGATATCTCAGGGCTTTACATAAGTTTTTCACAGGTCAATGCCGGTTTAATAAAAAAAGTAATGGTATTAATTTTTTGAATAGTTTCTAAAGAATGGAATGGTGACATTAAAATAAATCTACCTCAATCACAAGAAGAAATATCTCAATGCGAATGTAAGAAAACGTAACAAATGTTACTATCCCTAAGATGAAGATGCAAAGTTTTTCATCCTTTGATATCACATAATCCATATCCATTAATTTTTAACCATGAGGAATTTTACTGTTATATCACGGTATTTTAAATTATAAATTCATTTTTTAGTTGTCCCAAATATTTTGATTGTAAAGTTGGAAAATCGATTTGTCTCCAAAACCTGGAGAAAAATGTCATAATGAATGTTACTGGGTTTTCTTACAACATTGTTCATTTATTATGCCTGAAAAGGGTTTAAAAACATCTCTGTCAAAAACCAATGATCTTGAACCCTGAAGGCACTAGTATTATCGCCAAGGATGCTTGTTTTCAATTCCATGGAAGTCCAGCTGAAAAAAAAAATGATAAATGAGCTGCACAAATTAAACTATTTGGCGTAAAGAAGCTAAATATTGATCCTAATTCTATTTCAATTAGTGATGGGGCCATATAGGCGGAGCTGTGATTCTGTCACTGTGACTGGGCCGGATCTGGTGATCATAGTGACGGGCGCACCGAAATCACAGTGAGGTCACTGTAGGCGCTGTGAAATCACTGCCTCCCAACAGTGGCGGTCACTGTAGGCACTGTGAAATCATAGCTCTGATCACTGCGCTCAATGCCTCCTATCGCTTCAGCGATCTGGGCATTGTTGATTTCATTTATTTAATGAATGAATTAAAGGAATAACCATGAAATAATTATTTCTAAAATAATAGTTATTCGTCAAATTTTATTAAAAATACTTTTTGAACTTTGATGAATTGAACATTCATTGCCATATATTTCTGAATGAGTCATGTCTGAAATAATTAACGGAAGGTTTTCCATTTAACTGTTGAAATTGATTAAAAATTAAATAAATTCAATTATTCCCTGCAGGGCTGTATACAGAAACCAAAGGATCCCAGAGATATTTCACCACGTCAAATATAAAATTTATCATTGGAAAATATTTTTTTTTATTTTAATATAATTTTAAACACGTAAACTCTGATTTCAAAGTGACGCTTTCGCCAAGAAGCCATTATATACTTATCACCAAAAAAAAAAAATCACTGTGATTTGTCACAGTGATTTTGCCAGAGCTGTGACAGAAAATTTCTGTCACACCCCATCACTAATCTCAACTCATCACTTCGAAACTATTCCTAGGCGTCGACTACTAGTAGTCACGAGTAGTAAAATTAGGAATTGACCCCAACCAGTGGCGGATCCAGGATTTTTCTCTGGGGGAGGGACGCACCTCTGTACCAGGTGCTTCCCCCACCACTACCAACCTCCACTCCTTAGCTGAGTTTAGCAGCTCAAAAGTCCTCTAAATGGTTTTAACATAAACAAACTCTATTTTTATTTAAAGTAAAGTGAGGCAATCGTTAATTATTTAGATTAAATAGTTTTTTATTATTACTTCCTATTCAACAAAAAACGTGGCTTACATGAAAAATCACAAAACTTCAATTCCATACTTTTCTGCTTAAAATCGAACCATAGTTTGTATAAACTTTTTTGTATTTATTCAGTTCTGCTATCATTCCTTTAAATATTTCCCTCTACTTACGAGACACCCTGTATATCGGTTTAGACATATAAAAAACTAAATTCTGACACGGGACACCAAGAGAAAACATTTCACAGCCTAAAAATCCTGATTTATCTGATCTTTGTTTTCATGTATTACTACTGAACAGTGCATCAAAGCGAAAAACGCATTCTTTAAGAAATTAAAGAACGTCAAATTGTGCGTCGAACGACTACCTAAACTTAATAATTTGATTAATAGTCTGTGGGCCAGACCCCCTTACGTGCACCCCCCCCCCCACATCCCTATAAATTGCATATCGTTGTGTTCCTTGTAACTATTTGTTAAAAAAAAGCCAATGTTCCCACAAAAAAAAAAAAGTGAACGCACTGCCCCAAAATGGCGTCCAAAGATGGCGGATTGACGACTTTGACTTTAGTTAGTTTTTTGGTCACTGCGAATCAGCATTTGGCTTAATTTCCTCATAGTTGGTCTTTTATTAAAGCTGAATAGTCATAGAATAATAAACCATGAAGAAATATTAAAAAATAATTGGCTTAGGCTATGAAAAACACTACTAAAGTCAATTTTTTTAACAAAAAAAATTTCAAGTTAAAAATCAAGCGTCATTTGTAATTAAACGGCCTAAAATAACGCAAAACGTGCTGAAATAAACCATCTGGAGAATATATTTTTCTTTCCAAAACGCTGATTATTTTTTAAAAACTTTTAAACAGTTTCGTAGAAAATGCACTTATGCGGCAGAAAAGCGGTACTGGCGTGGGTGCCTCTACCACACCATTCAGTACACAGGCTTAGTTAAAGTGATATAATAACATTTTTGGTACATTATATTGGTTTTATTAACGAACAAATATTAATGCAATAATTTAATTATAAAAAAAAAAAAATTAATTTAAAAAAAAATTTATTATAATTTTTTTATTTAACCTTCTTTATTCTACACGTAGGTCATTTAAGAAGACCTTGATTGTAAAAATGATATAATTATAATAATAAAATTTAATTAAAAAACTGCTAAATATCTTGATTTTTTTTTTATTTAACGTTTGCAATTTAAAATTGTGTTTTGTATATTTACTGATTCTTAAACGCACTAGCGGATCCAGGGTTTAATTTTTGGGGGGGGTCTTCAGCCCGAAACCTTTTTTTTTCATAAAAATAACGATAATTACTTTGGAAAAACAGAAAGAAACTAACTACCTATATGAAATGGTGTTTAAGTTATTCCTTAAGTACTTTTAAATGTAATTACACGAACAATAATACTTTAAGAGGTATTTTTTAATTTTCTTTTCCCATAAAACATGGTTATATTTTTCCATTTTGGGGGGGGGCTTCAGCCCGAAAGCCCCCCCCCGTAGATCCGCCCGTGCTTAAAGGTAATTAAAATTTATATATACTTCCCAGGAAATGAGTTGTATTAGTACCTGTTTTATAAACTAAAATAATATATACCTAATCTGAACTATATATAATGAATAGCTGCTGGGTTGCATAGTAAAACTCATATATCACTAATTAAAAAATTAATTTTTATTTCCTTTATTTTGTGTGGAAGTTGGACTATATCATAAATAAATAGGAAATTTTATTATTGAATGAATTATTCTCTCTGCACAAAGAAAGATAGAAACGGTGACGCTATAAGTTCTTCTATAAGCCAGATTCATTCACACAATATGTACATACAGTGAAAATTTAAGAAAGATTACTGTAAATGGCCCTGCAGCTTGAAAATGAGTTTTTTAAGAACAAAAACTCAGAATAATTTTTGATTTCGATCAAATCAGAGACCAAATAATTAGCACCTTCCTTCATGAAAACGTTCCCAATAGCAGCTATTTCAGGAAAAGAACAACATGAGAAATGTACAAATTATTATCGTGACTAGTTTTATGAATCGCATGAATTCTTCGAGGAGACTATAGCTTCTGAAGGTTGTTCGAAAGAATAAGTGAAGTTCATTATTTTTTAAAATAAATTTTCCTACATCATGTATTTCACCTGCGAGATATATTCCAGTTCGGAGTCAATAGGAACAAACTCCGACAGGAGCACAAGCCTTTGCATCTTACGGTGGCCCAAAAACTACATCACTCTTTTCTTAGAATAGCAGATTTGTTTGTCCACCATCCAGAGGGAGGGTTGCCTTCTTGCAGAATTCACTAGTGCTCGTCACGATAATATATTTTTTAAATATATTACATTAGAAAATTCGTATATGAGAATGAAGTTTTCCTATATTTCTTTTTTCTTTAAATAGCTGCTTTTCGGAACTGAACAGCTGGCGATTGAGGCTACGCAATGCGATACTAGTTTGCTGACTTCTGCTGCTGCGTAGGGAGTTGCTGCTGAGATAGCTTCTGCTTTACACTTGATTTACATTTTTAGAAGGTTGTGGAAGATACGGGAAATCTTGAAGGAGGCAATGTCCTCCGGTGAACTTGATTTCTCACCGTCTTATGTATTCTTAAATCTCGTAGTGTTTTGGCACCCACGACAGTTGGTCGGATGCTCGCCTTGGCAATTTGCGCATTTTGTAGGGTTCTCCCGAGTTTTATGTGGAGCTTTAGGGGCTTTGCCCACGTTTGACGCACCGTGTTAAGTAGTTGAAGTACGATCTCGTGTGGCCGTACTTTTGGCACCTAACGTATTGCGGGATAATTTTTTTCTTCACAGATTCTCCAATCTTAACCCTCGCATAAAATATTTTATTAATTTCAAAAACTTTTTCGTTATACGAGGACTTGGTTACTTCAACAAAAAACATTGAAAATATCCGTTCGAATTGTGAAATCATCGACCTGGTATCCGAAATTCTCTAGGTCTCTAGAACTAGAACTCTGATTGCGATTGCCTTTTATACTAAACAAATTAATCAAATCTAATGTTAATTTCAATGCTATTTATTAAAGCATTTCACATGAATGATTCATATTATGTCCAACGTTTCCGCTGCAACCTTTTTTAAGAATGTGGTGGCCATAATGCAATATCGGTAGATTTTATGGATGAATGTTAATATTGATTTCCATTGAGAGTGAAAAATATTTATTAATACAATACAAATTATTAATGTACATAATTAGCATTTAATTGATGTTTCTATCCTGTCTTGTTTACCTCTTGATTTATTTTACCACTGTCTTTTCATCGGAGACTTGTTCATTTCACTCTCTTCAATCTCTAGAACGTTTCGATGGTCCCCACTCCTATACATTCTATAGCCCAGTCAAATTAGCACCGAAAAAAATTTTAATTCAAATTTCTTTTGCTTCTTCACTACCGAAGGTCAATTTTATTGAATTCTGTCCGTTGATTTCTCTTATATATGAACAACGTGTTTTCCTTGATACGTCTATATCTCTAAAACCGCAAGTTCGATATAGTTCATACTTGGAGGGAATTTAGGGATCGGTCAAAGTAAAATGAAATAGGCATCAATTTTATCAAATTCTATCTACTGCTCCAAAAAAAATACTTCCGCTTTTAGATCAGGAAATGTGTTATTTGATTTGTCTATAATTTGAAAACGGACCATTCGATTTGACCGAAACTTGGAGGAAATTTGGAGAACAGTATAGAAATAACATAGTATCAATTTCATTGAATTCCATTTAATAATTAAAATTAATATAAGTAATTGTTAACAATATAATGGCTGTGAAATGTTTAAGGCATTGATCATATGGAGTGGCAGTTAGGTTATTACAATATTGTTATGGGGTTATAAAATTTTAGATTTTGTTAAAAAAATTAATTAATACTGTATCGTTTGGTCGATTCCAATCGTTACTGGCATGACACTTATTGACGTTACATAGATTACACCACATTTAAAGTAATTTTTACTCTGAGTTTAAAAAAAAAGAAGTCTCATTTGTGGTTGTGTTTATTTCTATTTAAGTTTAACCAGTTCGTCTTGGTTTCGATGCCCTCATTAATTGTGTGTCGTGAAGTTGTGTGAACTTCGTCCATATTTTTATATTTTCTAGCTTAATGCCTTTTGTTCCGACTGAAGAAAAGTATTGATCTCGTTAATTCCGAACAAACAACAAGTTGAATTTTTCCTATAGATTTTCTAGTTCCATCCAGTTTACGAACTCGAAACGTACCTATTAAATGTATATCACTACTATTATTGCAAAAGGTACCATGTAAAAATTTTATTTTATTGGAGTTAAACTGATATAAGTTGTCTGCTTTTGGAAAATAGCAGATGACAATAAAATATGAAATTATACTAATAAAGCATAAAGAAATTATTTGTTTTTATGCTTTCTTGTAAAACAATAAATTTTTACATACGACCTTTTGCACTAACAATAGTGAAAAGCATGTTCAGTATGCATTGGTATTTTTTTTTTTAAGTTAAGAATAATGAAATATGAAAGCTTCAAATACGGCACTTTCGCATTTTTATATTAGCTGATAAACGAAAATCGTTGATATGAAACTCGCGAATGTTGAAGGGTAACTATATTTCCGAATCAGCTTCTCCCAGGAATTTTATTCTCATACAAAAAATTGTGTAGCTTGTAATATAGATATATTTTAGCCATTAAAACGGTGAGGGAAGCTATCCTAACCTTACTTAGCAGGCGGTTTTTATATTGTTAGGTACGTAGTGAATATAAAAATCTAGATTTTCGCCCTTAAAAACATTTTGGGTTCGCTGTAGTTCTCTAAATACCTTTGAAATTTTAAACTTTGGTTTACGCTAAATATCTCATTTTTAAAGAAATAGATAAAAACTAGTTATATTCAATCTTAAGGGGACCCTACACGGTCAATCGGAATTGCACTAATGACGTCCGAATTGTCGTGTAAGGTAGTGAATGAAGTACTGATGGTAGTGCGCTGCGGATTTCCGAACATCCGGAAATCAAAGGTTCATTCACGAGAAGTGGAGGGGGGACAGAGGTAAAAGTAGTGGGGAGTACCTAGTTTTCACAACCATTATGAATTTCTGATTTTCATTATATGTAAATAGTTAAATAATTTTTCATATCCCTTGTTTATAATTTTAAATCATCTTCAACTATTTCTTTTAAATAGTCAAGTGGGCAACAAATTTAAAAAAAAAAAAATGAAGAAACTTCACAATTTAATTGAAAGGAAAAAAAAAAACTTTAACGTTGTGTATATTTATCAGTTCTTTTCCCATTTTCTTCAACAAATTTATTATTTTCGCAATACCTTTCCTTAATTTTTGTAAGTAGTAGACTTATATTTTACTAACTTTTGTCAAAACGATTTTCTATGAGACTAGATAGGTTAGTTTACCTAGGTCTCGTTATTAAGTAAATTATTTCATAAAAGTAAATAGTTGTTTATATCCCTAGTCTATATTATTATTAACCATTTTCAACTATTTTTTCTTTAAATAGTCAAGTAGGCAATAAATTGAAGAGAAAAAAAAGTGGAAACTTCACATAAGTAATGATTGAACGTGTAAGGGTCTTCATGATCAAAGCGATAGCGGGCAATCTTGGAACTTCTTGTGACGTTCATTCATGAATTACCGTGTGGGGTCTGCTTTAAACTGCTTAAAATTAAATAACATTTTTTATACATAATATTTTTTTCTAAACCCAGCTGGAAGTGAATTATCGATCTATCAAAATGGATGAAGTTTTGAAAATTCGCAAAAAACATGCATAATTTGTTGTTTTAATTAATTATCTGTTTTATAGGTGACGTAGCTCAAATTTTAAATTAAATATTAAAACACAATTTACTTTTATCTTTTATAGGTATATAAAATTTTATTAAAAATATTTCTATAAACTTAAAAATTTTAATACAAATAGCTAAAAAGAAATATATCATTTCCAAGTCAATTTCAACCTTTTCCTAGTCAAATTCAACCTTTTCCAAATCAAATTAAACTTTTTTTTTATTTCTTTAACTGTTTCAAATATTTCGATGTATGGGCCAGTTATCGTATGAGTAGTTTTTGAAATTGACCTCCATTTTATGATTACGCCTCTGCGTTTCGGCTTATTTTATTTAAGTGAAAATGCTATAAATGTTTCGTAATTAAAAAAAAAAATAAAATTTATTTTTACTGTTTTCGACTTATTTCAGTGAAAGGAGTTATCAAAAGTTACTCTTTTTCTTGTTATTTTTTTATGAACTTGTAACACATCTTTTAATAGTAAATATTATCCAAATTACAAAAGTATTCTTACGGATTGTTATGATTTTTAGACAGTTTAGTTCTTCACAAAAAATTGTTTTGGACAATAAAATTATTGTATTAAAATTTTTTCGATTATACAATCAAAATAATTTACTAAAAACTAGTGTTGCCCAAATACGAGACCGATACGAGTCTTGTTCTTGCTCAAGATTCTCTCAACGGTCTTGCAGTTACTTATTAGCTTATTGCTATTGAGATATTAACTTAATTTTTTAGTTAGGAGAAACCTAACTAATCCCAAATGAAAAATTAGAGGAGTTAAATGCAAAAGTATATTGGTTATACCAATTATTAACATACAGTAATTAAGATTGTCAGGTATTATTAATTATTTTGCCTTAATTTTTATTCAGAAAATCGATTCTTTTACCAGCCCTGGTCCTGGTCTTGCAAAGACCGAATTTGGGCAACACTATTAAAAACGTTATTATAACACTATAACTATGTCATTTAGTATATGTACCGCCGAAGCAAGTAAGCCCAACCAACTACACACACGGATCTACGGGGGGGAGGGGCTTTCGGGATGAAGCGCCTCCCCCAAAATGGTAAAATATTACCATGTCTTAAGAAAAAAATATTAAAAATTACTCTAAAAGTATTATTGTTTGTGTAATTACATTTAATAGAACTTCAAGAATCATTTAAACACCTTTTGGTATAGGTAGTTAGTTTCTTTCTTTTTTTCCAAATTTATTATTGTAAAATTAAAAAAAAAAATTCTTTCGGGCTGAAGCACTCCCCAAAATTAAATCCTGGATCCGCATATTGACCAACTATGTCATTTATGAGTACTAAATGATGTGGCAGAGAACTGAAGGTGCATATGTCAGTGCCGCTTTTCCGCCGATAAAACGTATTTTGTATGTAACCGCTTCAAATATTTAAAAAAGGAAAAATGTATTCTCCAGATGTTTTATTTCTCGGCGTTTTTTGTTATTGTTGGCCGTTTATTTACAAATGACGCTTGATTTGAAGGCGTACTATTTTTTTCATGTTTTATTATTCTCTAACTATTCAGCTTTCGTAAAAGGTCGATTATGACGAAATTAAACCAAATGCTGAATCTCAGTGACCGAAAAACTAACTCAAGTCAAAGAAGAAAATCCGACTTGTTTGAACGCTATTTTGGGACAGTGCGTCCAGTTTTTTTGAGAACATTGGCTTTTTTTTTTTTTTGTATTGATAGGTACCAAAACACAACTGTATGCAATTTATTGGGATATGGGGAGAGTTTGCATGGTAAGGGCTCTGCTGTCCCACCGTGTAACATACTTCCCATAACACCTATCGACAACCGCCTACCGTTCCAGTCAATCGCTCATTATCTTCAAAAAAAACCTTCAAATTCTCTGAGCGAGGTTCAAAATAGTGTTACAGAATTCTTCTATTTAAAACTGAAAGAATACTATTGTGAAGGAATAGAAATGGATAAATTTTGAAAGCTCGAGTGCTCGCTCCCTGTTGGGTTTAAAAAAAAAAATGGTAATTTTAAGCTGTTTAAGATCGAATATACATTTTTTTTATATATGTGTCGTTCTAAAATGGAGTTATTTAGCTTAAACAAAAAAATAATTGGAAATTTCAATGTTTTTTGAACCCACAAGCCTTTCAACTTGGATTTTTGGTTTATTATTTTCAATAATCAACCATTGTGATCGACCAAAAAATTCAAAAACTTAACCTCCTCTCAAAATTTGAGGTTTCACGTTTCAGGGTGCGTAGAATTCGAAAAACATCTACTGACCTACTGGACTAATTTTTTTATATTTTGGATATAAAATCCGAGCTCACCCGAGGATGATCCTCCTTCATCTAAATTACTATCCGCCTTTTAGTTCCAAAACCTGCGTTTCTATAGACTGGAGCTCCTAAACGAATGTACCGATTTCAATGAAACTTCGCTAAAATCATTTTCTCGACGTCCTTTAAATTTATCTATATAACATTCTTCAACGAAAAGAAGCTGAAAAAAATGTTACGAGGGATGGTAAAATTAAATTCCGAATAACTCAAAAAGTTTACACTTTTTTTGTCGATATTGTGATAAGATGTTTCAAAGGTATCTAAATTTCCTAAAAAATGAAGGAAGTTTCATCA